GTCGAAGCTTTTCAGCCTGTAGCTTTCCCCATCCTCCCTTAATCGGGCGATGCTTGTGTGGGGGATACGCCATAAGCTCTCACTTTACCAAAGAGCCGATAGCTAGTGGCTGTTGGTCATGACTATTACCAAAAAGCTCCAATAAAGATGAATATTCCACATAGAGGAGTGTGCATCTTTATGTTGGACATTATTCTGTCGTGCGACCCGGCGGCTTATGTGTGACCTATGGCCCACGCTTCCTATTTGTTCAGGGCGGATGGCGTGAAATCTGATTCAATCCGGGTATTCAATCCCGCCACTGAGATGCTCAGTTGACTCCTTAACCTTGATAGGAAGATGGCTTATTCAATAATTCGTGCATAAGGGTAAGGAACTTTGGATGAACTAATGTGAATGGGTGTAAGCTTCGCTGCTTGGAAACACCGAGCGCTGACCATGCTGAGAGACACAAAAGCCCAGGTAACACCAGTTGACGAAGTGGCGTTAAGCATCCCTAGCGGTACGAAAAGAGAGGTTGTGATGACATCTTCTACATTTGTACCGCTCCTCGTGATGTAGATCCCGCATCCAACAAAGTCTTTGACCAGGGAACGAGAGAATTCCCACTACCACCGAATCGCCAAATTTTTTGCCATACCCTAACCGCATCATAACCACGTAAATCGGTTCAATTCGTATCTCAGTTCGACTTGGTTTGGTTCGATTAATAACCATGAAAATAAATTATTTTTTACAGGTTCATCCGTCAAAATTTATGAAAAAAGTCTATGAAAACAAAAATACAATATTCCAAACGAAAATGCAAACATTATCAAACAACATTCAAAACGAAAATGCAAATGCTGAAGAGGTCAATTTTCTTTTTCTAATTTCCTTGATCGGCTCCTCATCATCACCTATATCTATATGAGTAGGATTTGCATTTACCTCACTTTGATTACAAAAAGAAAATTAAAAAAAAAAATGTAAGGTTGCATTAATATGCTATATTTATTATTTACCCTTATTTAAAATTTGTTCTGATTGACAATTAACAGTGCGTATACCTAAGTTTAGATAAAAATGAAATACCAAATGATTCAATTTATTTCCTGTAGTCAATTAATTTCCACTAAACACAATTAATAAAAATATCATTACATACAATTAAAAGAAATAATAATACTGCATATATAATTAACTACAGAATACCAAATGATTCAATTTATTTCCTCTAAATAAGATAATTAATAATTATCATTGCTTTCGAAAATTAAGTCAATTAATTTCCACTAAAAATGTAATGGGCATAATTTTGTTTTGGGCTCGATAGAAAAATAGTGGAAAGTCCAATAATCAATTGTCAATTTTTATTTTTTTAACGGGTAAACAGTTCGGTTCGGTTAACCAGCATAAATACCATACCATATCCACCCCGTCCTGAATCGGTTCATTAAAATCAAATACCATATCTATCCCATTGCACCATAAGTTCGATTTTTTTAGCCCCATTCGGTTCGATTAAGAGCGATTTTTGATTTTTGACGGTTCAAATTGTCATCCCTAATTTTAGTTGATCAAAGATGACACCCAGTTTGGACTGCTTTATAGTCCAACAGGCAACAAAAACACAAATATCATAATTATTTCATTTTTTGAATTAGTGTAATTCCAAGTGCTGTAATTTCGGCTAACTTGTTACAGGTTTATCTTCTAGTTTTCGTATTTATAGGCTAACTTGTTTTATTTAAATAAAAAACATAATTAAATAAATTAATCAAATATTAAATAAATATTAATTTTAAATAATAATAAAATAAATTATTAAATATCTACAATGTATTAAAAGTGTGAATTGAGGAGAAACTTTTAAATACCAATTATACCATTACACATTTACCTATATGTTCAATATACCCTCATTTGGTTTATAAAAAGAAATTTAAAATAAAAATAAAAATGAAAGGTTGCATTAACATGCTATATTTATTATTTACTCTTATTTAAAATTTGTTCTGATTGACAAGTAATAATACGTATACCTAAGTTTAGATAAAAATGAAATACCCAATGATTCAATTTATTTCCTCTAAATAAGATAATTGATAATTATTATTGCTTTTGAAAATTAAGTCAATTAATTTTCAATAAACACAATTATTAGTACACAATTAATAAAAATATCATTCCATACAATTAAAAGAAATAATAATACTATGCCCCTGTTTGATTCCCATTACCTGAAAATGAAAATGGGAGGAATAGTATTTTTTAGAAAAATGAGTGGTTGAAAAAGAATGATAAGTTTTCGATTACGTGTAATATTAATTTATGAAAGATTGTGTGGTTGAAAATAGGAGAGAGAAAAATGGAATGTAATGTAATTTAATTTAATGGGGATTAAACAGGGGCTATATATATAATTAAGTACAGAATACCAAATGATTCAATTTATTTCCTGTAGTCAATTAATTTCCACTAAACACAATTAGTAATTATTTTTTAATAAAGATATTATCACATACAATTAAAAGAAATTATATAAATATTTTTTTCAGAAAACAACAGTATGTAATAATATTTTTTAATCATTATTGAACATGTGTTGTTGTCTTGATTTACCTTCATTGAAATAAGAAAAAACTGAAAATACTTGCAATGAGAGTGAAAATCATATAACCACAAGGGAAAATTGAGGTCAACAATTTTTAAAGAAATTGGTTGCATTAATATGCTATATTTATTATTTACCCTTATTTAAAATTTGTTCTGATTGACAATTAATAATGCATATACCTCAGTTTAGATAAAAATGAAATACCAAATGATTCAATTTATTTCCTCTAAATAAGATAATTAATAATTATTATTGCTTATAAAATTAAGTCAATTAATTTCCACTAAACATAATTATTAGTACACAATTAATAAAAATATCATT